AGAAATCACTCAGTCTTAATCTATCATCTATCTATTTATTTTTCACCAAGAGGGAAACCTGCCATGGTTCCAATTATCCTTGCCAGGCAAGGAGGCAGATACTTAACATCAGAGAGCTCTGTTACAGTAGCTATTGCTGATGGTGGTAGTCTAAGGCTGGGAGTGGTGCTATAGCCATTGGATGGGACAGATTTTGTCACACCTGCTGGACCAGTTGGTTCATTATCTATGTTAATCATCTAGGCCACATTTGTGATACTGAATCAAGGCAGCAGCAATTTGATCCAAAGTCAACAGGGTTGAAGGAAATCAGGTCTCCAGAGCACAGGCCTGGAATAGGGGTAAACAAATCTTGCTGTCACATTTCAGGCTAGAACCAGCATAGCTATACATTTCTACTCATGCAGAAACTCAACCCTAGATTCAGAAATCAGATAACTGCAGAAATTTGTACTACTTGGATTGTTATTGTTTAGTGGCTTCCAACTCTTTATGAGTCAATGAATAATAGCCGAACACAATTATCTGTCAGTAAATCAAATCAAGTGTCTTTATTATGATCTGTGTCTATCCTTTACAGTAAAATAGATAGTTTGACATAATAATTTCTTACTGGGAAAGGGGAAAAAACAAGATCTAGCAAGGAGAAACTGCTCAAATCCCTCACATTTGGGAGGCTTGGGGGGCTGTGGTAAGAAGATGCTGCTTTTCCCCTGCAGCATGGACATTTTTGTCCAGGTAGTCCTAACTTTCAACTGTTCATTTAATGATGGTTCAAAGCTATGACAGTCTCGGAAAAAAGTGACTGACAACCTGTATTTCCACTTATGTGTATTACACCACCTCCATGGTCACGTGATTGCAATTTGGGCACTTGGCACCACCGTGCACGTATGACCAAGTCGTCGGGATTTGCAACCTTTTCTATTGATATTCAGCAAAAACCAGCCTTTAGGGAAGCTGAATTTGTTTAATGACCATAGTAATCCACTTAATGCCATTAAATTGTTGTAAAATTGTTTCCAACTTGACTTATGATTGCAGTGACCTATGATAGATATTCCAGTCCCAACTGTGGTCATAAGTTGAGGACTATCTTTGAATAGTCTCCCTGTGGAGATCAGACTGACTTGTTTGCTGGCTTTCCACATGCTTCTAACAACTGAAACCTGAGAGAACCTTCCCCTGATTTGAATTGTTGTTGCCACATTGTGTTTTCTTTCTATTCTTCTATTGTGGTAATTTTAATTTTGTGTGGGATTTATATTGTATTTTTCTATGTGAACCACTGAGAATAATTTTTTTATTACAGTGATATACAAATACGTATGTATATATGACAGACAGACAAATAACCAACCCCTACATCTCCATATGATAGATCCAGAGAGTAAATCTTAAGCCTTTTCCTTCCACCCTTTCAAGTCAACTAATGTTTGGCCATGCTATTTCCACCCTTGAGCTAACACAGCCCCTACATAAGAAAACCTTCTTTTGTGGAAGAATGTGAATTCCTTGTAAAAACAAAACAACACCTTCATTTTAAGTTGTCCAATTTGTAAAAAAAAAAAAATATTTGTGTATTTGTTTTCATATACAGATAGAAAGAAAAAAGACACAAAAAAGGAAATAAAAACAGAAAAAATAAGAAGGGACAAACTACATAACATATATAGGAAACACTTTGATTTTAAACGTAAAGTTAAATCTTGACCACACTGAGAAATTTTGATCAGGCTTCCAACAGAACATGAATTCATAATCAGAAAGAGTGTAATTCCATAAGGGCAGTGCCTTTCTTTGCAAAAGAGTAATATTTATTGATATTCTCTGTGCTTAAAAAAACATAGTTGCTCATATAATAGTAAAGTCCAATTTTTTGATATTTAATTCAGAATCACATCTCCAAATTGTATCATCCTTCCCAGACCATATTATACATATTATAATACATCATAATGGCACAATAGTATCCACTCTATCACTTTACACTTCCAATATCTGGTAGAAGTCTATTCATGATGATCTGAAAAGGAAGACTTCCTTCATACCACATCAGTGGTAAGAGCCGAGGTGGCGCAGCAGTTAGAGCGCAGTACTGCAGGCCACTTTAGCTGACTGTGTTCAGCAGGTCAGCAGTTCAAATCTCACCGGCTCAAGATTGACTCAGCCTTCCATCCTTCCGGGGTAGGTAAAATGAGGACCCAGATTGTTGGGGGCAATGTAAATATATAAATATATATATACATTGCTTACTGATGTACACCGCTTAGAGAGTGCTTGCACTTAAAAGCGGTATATAAGTCTCATAAATAAATAAATAAATAAATAAATCAGTGTTATCCCACCCAACATAAAACATTGGACCAAGGAAATATTCTGCTGAATTATACAGTCAGACATCATTTGGGAAAGATCATAGGTGGATCCAACTTTGATTATCACATATATGATCTGTGTATGGATGAACAAAGGATGAACAATTGTGTCAATCTTCCGGCTGGCGAATTCAACATTAAAGAAACTCTACAGCCTTGAGGTGTCACAAGAGATAATTTTTTATTGAATACACTTCCCAGCACTGAAGAAGTAAAATCAACTCTAAGTTACCTGTGCAAAGTTCTGGTTAGTTACCAATAGCTTTTCATATCCCCCACCCACCATGTGTTCACATTGGCCAATCACAGTCTTTCTGTTTGTTATGGGAACAGTCCACTTCTCTGCCAGACACCTGCCTTGATAGACCTTGGTTCTCACAGTCCATGGAGGGCTTCCTGAAACTCCCATTTCTTTCCCAGACCCCCCTCCCCCGTTTCTATGGCACGTTGAGCAGCTACAGAGGTTAGCAATCATCTTGACAAATTGCTTTATTTTTGCAAAATAGGAGTAGTTCTCTGTGTTAGAATTGGCTGGTGTCAAATACACCTAGGTTTCATATTTCCACCTGATCATGCAACTTCTCAGCTCATTTTTCTCTGAACTTATGCTATCTTCAATCCTTTACAGGAAAGATAGGATACAAATATCAAATACGTATGATGTCCTTAAAAGAATATCATACAAAGGAAATATTTATTCCCTAATATTTGAGATTCAGCATGTAGAATAATAGATACAAATTACAGGAAGGCAAATAACTTTGAATGTTAGAAAAAGCCCTAGCAGTAAGAAAGAGCTGTCCAACACTAGAACTAATGACCCAGAGAAGCAGAAGTCTTTCCTTCACTGGATGTGTTCAAACAAAGGCTGGATAAGTATCTGACTTGGATGCTTTAATTTAGGTTCCATTACTGGAGATTTGATGCTCCTACCAGTTTGACAATCTGCTGAGTTTGAAATGTAATCCACTTGTCTAAGTGAGCAGAAATTTATGCAAGAGGGAGGCTATCCCATTGCTCTTGCTGCCTGCTCAAAGCCACTGACACCTTCTTCTCTTCAAGGCAGTAAGTTGCAAAGCCTAAAAGACTTTGCATATCTTGAGGCTGCCCTTGAATAATATCAGAATAAGGGGACAGCATATTCTTTACAACTAAGAATGACTTAAACCTTTCCCTTTCATCATCTGGGAAGGAGATGAAAGCAACATCACAGGAATGGCAGAAGTGTAATCCAGTATGAGGAAAGCATAGTCCTGTGGGTACGGTATAATTCTAATAATTCAACAACAGCTAAGGCTACTTCGCAGTAAAACCAATCCTGTCACCCTGTCCAAAGAAGAAGGAATGCATTCATTAAAGTTCCAATGGAAATAGAGAATGAAGACATCTGTTTTGCAAAAAAACGTAATATCTCTGGGTGCCACTTGACATGCTCCTTCCTTTCTGGATGTTCTTTAAGAAGCTTGCAAGGAAACATATACTTGACATTTGATAAAGGGCCACAATTACTAGCTTAATAACTTGCTCAAGAGCATCTGTGCAACAATATTCCTCTTCCTTTTGTAATTCAGCCGCTTCCAAATCACTTATTTCCTGATTCCTGCATCTATCCAATTAACAAAAAGTCTTAGAACTGAGAATAAAACTTACCCAGTTTCATTCAACTAAGAAGTTTGAATAACTGAGTAATGGTGAATTATTTCTTATATCAAAGCTTAGCTTGTAGTAAAGGAAAGTTCTTTATTTTGTCTATGATAACATAAGTAAGATTAGGAGCCATCATTTTATCAGAAAACGAATAAAAGAGTTCAATCACTAAGAAAGAATGGCCTTCAATGAATAGCTAGTAAGAATATTCAACACACTAGTATTTTCAGTTGTTTTACTTTTGTCCAGTACTTACTGTTCTTAGATGCTGAAAGGTTGGAACAATTAATTAATTTTATTTCTCTGTCTGGTCTATTGAAAATTGTTGTATAGGTAGGTAACATTGTGTAGTTAGGTTATCTTATGGTCACAGACCTGAAGTCTGTGCGTTGCAAAGCAAAGTTTAGAGACAATCACTCTTTTACTAAGTCCAAAAGGAGCAGTCCAAAACTACTGGGATATTTACCAAATGTTTGTTTTTCCATATATGTTTTGCTTGCATGGGTGTGTGTATGAAAAAGAGATTGTGTTTTAATTGTACCATGTTGTTCCTCTTGCATATTCCTACAGGAAGCATTGGTTGAACATGACCTTTAGATATTTTAAACAATTGAGAAATCTGAAAAGGAATGCCAGCTGGTTGGCTTTCTGCCTATGTTGTAATACTAAAAACTGTTTATGAAGGATAAAACTATTTAACTGATTTCTACACAAGAGCCTCAGCCAACATGAGCCCATGTTATACAGGCATAATTAACAATTCACAGATCTGGTTGCAAAATATGTATCCATTCATTGTAAAGGAATTGCTTTGTCCTGTTAATTTTTCAAAACTGGACTTCAAAGCAACATGTTCATTCAAGGCAACATGTTCTCCAAAGTTTTGCTTATATATGATACTTAAGCTGAGCATGCACAATGAACATTATTTAAAAAAAAAATATTGCTTAAGTTAGCATTTTCCAGTTTTCTTACCTTGGAAAGGAGACAGAGGAAGAATATCAAGAGAAACTGGAGTTTCATTCTGACACTTCAACACATCCCTCCTCAAGTTGTTTGGAGGCAGCAGTATGTCTGCAGTCTTTAGAGCCTGAGAGTAAATTCCTGCAAGTGTTTATACTCTTCCCTCCTCTGATGTCATTCCTAAGCTCCAGTGTAAACACAAGTTGGTTTGGGCAAGAATCAAGGAGTTTCTCTCTCCCTCTCAATCTCTCCCTTCCACCAACTTTCCAATTAATACTTCCACACATTTCAAGGTGAGAACATGCAGCTCATCAAGAAAGCGAACAATGGAGAGAGTTTATTGTATGATGACTGCAGATCTTTATTGAGTAAAAGCAATAAATAATAATATCAAATAAATAAAATAGGTATTCTAAGAAGAATTTTTTTCTGCTCACAGGATGTTCTATATACTACAGAATGTATCAGTTGTATCAGTGTCATGCTGTAGAAAGGGTGGATATTCATGGGTGGTCTCCATGACTGGAGATGAAAAGGATAGAAGATGAATGGACAGACAAACAGCGATAACAGTTTCTGGATCATCACCATGTGTGCTACTGGAAACATTGCTTGTGTTTCTTGGTCAAGCCTTCCTCTTCCTTTACATTTGTAAACTGTGACTGCTTACTACTCTCAACCCAACTTTACGAGCTCCTACCCTTTACACATCATCTAAATGCAGGAAGCCCCATCTTTCCAATATCCTATGGATATCATAAGTCTAAAGCTGAAAAACCCAAGATGCTTAATGCTAGCTATTTAACTGTAGTTCCGGCTATACCTGTAAAGGCTTACCTTTGTAGGCCTTCTCTAAAATGAATAGAAAGTGGGAGTGGAGGGGTAGGAGAAGCAGTATGGATTGCCCTCTTCCCATTCCTTACATTCACTCTACCAGTAAAGGCTCAGCATTGTAATATTACTTACCTGTAAGGGCTTGTCAGAGAGCCAATTTTATGTAGTGATTATGACACCAGACTATAAACCAGCAAACCAGAACTTTTAGTCTTGTCTTAGGTACAAAGCCAGTTAGGTGACTATGGGCCAATCACTCTCTCTCTCAGCCCCTAAGAAAGAGGCAAACCACACTGAAATCTTGCTAAGAAAACTGCAGATACTTATCCAGGCAGTCAACAGAAATCAACATTTACTTGAAGGCATACAAACATACCAAAAAGGCCTTGCCATGTTAAAATAGGAGAAGGAAGGCCATATTTCTACCCTTAGTCCCAACAGCACTCCTTTGACATCTATGCATTCAATGTGGTTGTTTGCAAATAATGTTTGAGCTGCTATTTGTAAAGACAGGTTTTATATGACCTGCATTTCTAGCTGGAGTGAAATTCCAATCTTGCAAAATCCCTACAGGTGAACAGTTGCTTGCCAACAACTATACATAGATGCCATTAATAACATGAGAATAGGACCAAAAGTGTCACCCTTTTCCTGCTTAACACATTATATCTTACACTTCCCTCTGTAGTCTGGGTGTTCTCTAGATACCCAGACATCCACTCCAAGAATTCTTAGCCACGGTCATGTTGTTCAGGAAATCCTTCAAATTAAAATCCAAATTTCTGAAATATGTTAATTTCTGTTTAGGAAAGTCTGTTATAACAGGCTATGCTGAAAAAAAGCCATATCTTTTTGATGTATCAGGCAATGATGAGAAATCATTCTCCTGCTTACCTAATACATAGAGAAAAGCTGCTTTTCTCCAAATGATCTCCAATCCTGCCTATTGGGGAGGAAAAAAATTCTTTTGGAGACATGCTTCAGGTTATATTAGAGAAATGTATTGTTGGATGCTTATTTGAGAGAAACAGAAATGTCTGTGCTTGCAAGATACAAAGAGAAAAGCACATGGATCATTCCTTGCCTTTTCTCCACATACAAATTACATATGAACAACACTTTTGTAGGGTGGTATTAAAAAACAGACAAAAAATACTCTGTCATGATGCCTCAGCTGTAGCAACTCAGTAAAAGTTAGTTCTTCTTGCTACAGTCATCACATGGTCAACATACTGTACATAGGTAACCTGGTCTTCCTACTGGTTTGCAGTCTTCCTTGCTTAATGTATCTTGTTTCACAATGCATGTTGGAAAATACATTACAATTCAGTGATCCCTGCTGATGTGAATAGACTAAATCAGACTTCTTTAGTCTTGTACCTTACAGATGTGTTAAACTCCTTCTGCTTAAATCCCTTACTAACACATTTGAAGAGCATCTGATTGGGAAAGACTGTGATAAATGTATAGGGTTAGTTACAATGATAACCAATAATAAAAAATAAATCCCCCAAATTGGTCAACAGTTTGCAAGCTTCCAGACTCTCTAGAATTTTCCATCGGGCTTGAAGATAAACAAAGCAAAAGAAAGTCAGTGAAGGAGGAGGACCTGGCCTGTATTGGGCCCTTAGCATCTGTATTTAATTGCAGTTATACATTGGAATGTGGTTACAGACATTCAAGTAAAGGCTTTGGTGATTTCCAGCTGCACCAATGTTTCGTTACTCCATCAGCCTTAGATACAATTCCATATGCAATCAAAAACTGGAGTAAAATCAAACAGACAAACTATGTGTACTATTAAAGATATCATTTTGCTAGACATGCAGAATGTTTTTTTTAACAAATAATAACACTGGTATGTGTGTGTGTGTGTGTATCTGTGTGTGTCTGTGTGTGTCTATGTGAAAGAGAGAGAGGGGGAGGGAGGGAGGATGTGGAGGACAAAAAAAACACTCCGGAAAGAAATTGTTCCATTGAAGCTGGTATGTTTTGATTTGCATCTTTATTTCTGGGCAAAGCTTTGTCTGCTGTGATTCTAAAAATTACCAGATTCAACTCCTAACTGAAGCTGTTGGAATTTTTAAGAAGTCTTCAAATTAAATGCAAGAATTTTCTCACCTCATTTGTACATCTGGCCCTTATGTTTCCCTTGTTCACCTGCATTTTTATTCTCCTCAGTCTAACATTCAGAAGCTTTTCAATTCTTTGCAAAGAATTCAGACCATGGCATTTTTGATATTTTTCTCATACATACCCATATACAACTCATACTAACCCAGTGCTCCACTACAACCCAACCCAACCTCCCACAAGAGGAGCTGCATAAAAGTATAATTCAGACCAGCAAAACATACTGCAGCAACATAGAATGCCAGAAAGAGGAACTAGACCACTTTGCACAATGTCTTCCAACACAGTGAATATTCACGGAACTTTGTCAAAAAATGCATGATACACAGCCTGCTACAATACAACCAATATAACCTATGACAAGGATAACACTCTCATACACCAAAAATATCTCAGAAAAAACCAACAGATTACAACCACATGATATTACTATCGCATACAAACCAATTAAAGTTCTCCAAAATATTTTAAACGAAAAGATCCAATTACCTCAGAAGAAAAAATACAGTGCAAGGACTTTAACAGCCACTATATAGGGCAGACAATCGGAAGACTAGCAAAGTGCATCCCCACAAACACAAACTGGCAGTCAGAAAAGATGACAAAAGACTCCTCACTTTCACAGCACATAGACAGGTTCAGCCATAGTTCAACTATGGGAAATATTTTTTTCAATGTTAAATGTTTTTTTAACTCATAATCTTCTAGGTTGATTACTCTCTCCTATTTGAAAATTAACCCAAGTCATTTCAGCCTATGGTAGAAGCATAGAACTCTTACGAATACGTTGAACCTAGTAATTTCAAAGCATTATGCTTTCCAAGTCTAAATCTTCTATGTTAAATATAATAGAAGGCATATTTATACAGAATAGCTTTAATAAAGATGATAGCTAAAACATTTATATCTGAACAAGTTGTAACTCAGTGCGGTGGCAGAAGCAATGACTTTCTTCAATATAGAGAACATTACTGTAATTTAATTTAATATAATATAATTAATTCCACTCATTCAAAACAGGATGCAGTAAAACCAGATTGCTTATTGGAAAGCTAAAGCTTCATTATGCTGGACACATAATGTGGAAGCAAGAGACTTTGGAGAAGACCTGATGGTTGGAAAAACTTAACGTACTGAAAAAAATGGCCAGCAGAACAAAGGATACTTGTAGCTGCCACTGACATCACAAGCACAAGTTTACAAGAACTCAAAGAAGAAGTCATTGACAGACAATCCTGGCAAACTGATGTCCATCAGGTCACAAAGAATTGGAAACAGCTGAATGACTGGTCAATAAAAATCTCACTCAATCTTCAAGGGACGATTGGGAAGTAGAAAAGAAAATTTTGTGACTTACTCTTCCCTTGAAGATTGAGTGAGATTTTTATTGTTTTTATTCACAACAATCCTGTGAGACAGAGTAAGTAGAAAGATGCTAGCTGACACAAGCCAACCAACTTTTAATAGCCTAGTTGTATTGTTTGTTACTAGCAATGTGTGAAAAGCTGGCATTGTACAGAATCCCTAGGAAACATAGAATGTGTAACATTTTTAGGTAAATTATGAAATGTCCGTGTTATTTTAATATTTTCCCTAGATATCGTATATAATACTTAGGCATTTTGCAGAATGACAAGAACTATTTAGGCAAAATATGAAAAGAGAGTCATGAAAAGGGTTAAGGGTTAACCTTAACCATTTACTGAAAAGAAGTATATGAAAATGAAAGAAGATATGCAAAATAAAATACAGAATTTTCTTACTTAAAACAAAAAGATAAAAAGAGCAGTATTGACTTACTTGTTGCAACAAGAAAGGCCAGAATGGCATTTTAGTTTGAACATTTTATACTTTGCTGGTTTGTCTTTTGGCATTGCATAAAATGCTTAGGAAATGTGTGAAATATTAAAGCATTTCATACTTTGATGTCCCATTTTTGGCATTCTATAGATTCCTTAGGCATTCTATAAAATGCCTAATTTTCACATATTGACGGTAACATTTATATACATATGGCTAAAAAAAAACAGGAGGGATATTTCTTTTCTTTATTTTAGCAATAAATAGAAGCCATGCAGAAACTGCTGCTTCAGAAAGTACCTTTCTGCCTAATTAATAGAGGTAGTCCTCGACTTACGACCACAATTGAGCCCCAAATTTCTGTTAAATGAGACATTTGTTAAGTGAGTTTGCACCATTTTATGACCTTTCTTGCTGCAGTTGTTAACTGAATTACTGTAGTTGATAAGTTAGTAACACGGTTGTTAAGTGAATCTGGCCCCACCATTGACTTTGCTTGTCAGAAGGTCACAAAAGGTAATCACTTGACCTTGGGACACAGCAACTGTCATAAATATGAACCAGTTGCCAAACACCTAAATTTTGATAACATGATCATGGGGCTGCTACAAAGGACGTAACTGTGAAAAACGGTCATAAGTCACATTTTTCAATGCTGTAATTTTGATGGTAACTAAAGTTTCTGCTGTAAGTTGAGGACTATTTGTATTGCAATCCTATAATGCCTACTCAGATGTAAATCTCATTGTTTCAATGAAGTTTAATTCCAAAAAGGTGTGCTGACAGAAGACATACAAGTCTAAAGCATTTTCATACTACCATGTTATCAGCTATCTTTCAGTTGAAAGAAAACTGTATCAGCATGACACTAACTGCTGAACTCTATCACACTCCATTTCACAACACTGCAGTCAACTGATTCCCTCCCAGGTGAAAAAGTTTAAGGCTACTCTTGGATAGTGCTGGAAGGAAGGGGGCATTTTTTAATGCTGAAACAACTAAGACAACGTAGCCTTGTATCAGAGAAAGGAAACATTGTGGGGACATGACAGAAAACAGAGGCTGCTAGGGCATGTTTGTGCAAATAGGGATATGATTACACAGAGAGAATGATAAAAACGGGGGAGTCTTAGATGGTGCAGTCTTCAAATGAGAGATTTATGTTTCTCTCTGAAGCTCTACACACTGTATAAGACTTTCTACTGGTTCCATTTATGCATAATTTTACCTAACATAGGTTTTATAAAAGTCCCATAAGTCTCCAGTGTTCTAGCAATCAAATCCCAGCAACTCTGCTTCAAGAATATGCAGAAGTGGGTGGTGTAACAATAAGAAACTATTATGTACTTTAGGCATTGCTCATCAGAAATCAATGCAAAGCCTGTATGATACATTGGCACTGGCAAGCTGAACTCAGGAAGTCAAGAAGTTACTACAATTTTCTGAAAATACCAAGCAAAGAGGCCAAAACCACAAACAAAAAAATAGCCAATGTCCCATACTTAAGATTTTATCAAGATTGTTTACTAAGTATTCCACGGAAGGATTTGCTCCTGCCTCATCAGATTTCACAGCATCTCTCCAGGGGAAACAGCATGGGAACCAGGCAGTGTCTCCACCACAGAGATTCCACTGCCACTCTCCAAGCAGGAGTAAGTAATGATGGATTATTGCATTATCCAAGCAGGAGTAAGTAATGGTGGATTTTTCTTTCTGACCTCAGGTGTCAAAGATAAAGACAAGAAAGGTCTCTGAGCAATTATATGAGTAGACACAAAACAAACACTTCCAAACTAAGTATGGAACAAAGGCTATATCTATATGAAGGACCACAAGCTCCAGTGTGAAGACTGAAGGTCATGGTCCTTAAAAAAACTCTGGGTCATCTTTAAATAGCAAGGCCAGCTCAACACCATTAAGTAGTAAAACACTTTTTAGTTCCATTGATTAGAGGGAACATGAAAATATATGTTAAAAAAGAGCAGAGTTTCAACTACATGATCCAGCTGCCATCTTGACTTTTTTTTAATTTCCCTTACACCTGCATCTAATCTTTTGGTATATTGCTATGCTTATTTCTTTGCTTATTTGTTTATTTCTAGGACTTAAAAACTACTCTAATCAACTTATTTCTTTGCTTATTTGTTTATTTCTAGGACTTAAAAACTACTCTAATCAACTGACACTATGCTAGATACAATTCTGTACTACATAATTGGGTTTGAAAACAGCAGATGTAAACCCAATTAAAAACATTGCTTATTGTAATTACATAAAATCCATGGTCAGGATCAAAACAGTTAAAGCCAACCTATCATCTAGAGGCACAACTGCATCTTTTTACATCATGTTTTTTTCATGCTGCTTTTCTGTTCTCTCTCCTAGAAACAAGCCAGCTCAACTGGCTGTAATCAGTTCACATTGCCTGCAAATAAGAGCCAAAAGACAAAGTTGTTCACCTCATTTTCCTAATCCAGTCACCATGAGACTTTTGTAAAAGAGAGTACATTATAATCCTTCATCATACAATATGCCCAAAATGTGTTCTATATTTTGCATAGAATTTCATTATCTACTTAATTAAATCATGATGTTACTTACATTTTTTTCCATGGTACGCAACACTTGGCTTGTCTTTCTGTTGCCAGTTGTGTAAGAGAAGAGTTGACATAAGGACAGAATAAAATTCCTTTGCATTAAGAATCGGCAAGAGGGGGGTTGTTACTATAGAAAGTGGAAAATTAAAGCAATGTGTTCAAGTTTGATGTAGTAACTACATTTACAAATCCATCCCAATGGATAGAAATATTGTTTCCCTTTTAAGGAAGATTTTCAATAGAATTTCTAATATTTGCCAGATGAAAATCTATAGCAAGGAAATATTTATTGAGAATGGATTAAAAACAGATTGTCATTGAGACATCTACAAAAAAATTGGATAAGTCTCAGATATTGCTTTCAATCATTATAAATCAACATTTTCAAATACTTTAGATATGTTACCAAAGTTGTTAACTCTGACACTAAACTAATATTCCAATCACATTTGATATGCAAAATTTTGCAGTAACTTCATATGAAGTAACTGAAACCTGGTCTACATATGTAAATAGGTTAGCTAGCAAAATCCAAAAATTAATTATTGTACAGTCTCAGATATTGATCGAGATTTTTATTTTAAATTCTCAGAAGGTTCAGACTTGGCTTTGGTCTTGAAAACTAACCAGACTCAAACCTGGTTATTATTTGGATAATAATATTAAATTAGCCAATTAATATTAAAAACCCAGGCAAGGCAGGCTTTTAGGCAAATGTTAAAAAATAATCCCTGAGGAAGGTAACAACAAACCATTTTAACAACAACAACAGCAACAATACTGCTGCTAAGAAAACCATATGGAAGTGTCCTTTAAAGATAAACACTTCTACAAGTAAGGCTCAACTCTTGGTTATTTAGTGAATATATTTATGTAGTTTTTGTGATACTAGTCTGGAAGTGGTTTGTCACTGCCTTCATTTGGGATATTTCCTTCAACTTCTCAAATGAGCTAACAGCCTCCTTAGCCTTTTCTCAAGATCTAAGGTTGAAGGAGACTTCACTTCTTTCTTACCTGCTACATGATCTGTATGGATCATGATATTTCCTTGCTTCCTAAACCGTGGACAGATATGACATAGCTAAGGTATGGAACAGACTTCATTTACCAGTTGATTGCATCTTCCCAATAATCAGAAAGAAACAATAGATACTAAGGAGGATATTAAATTTGGTGTTGCCAGCAAGTCAGCCCCAAAAGAAAGAATTCATAATTAAATATCAGAGGGACAATTATTTTAGTATTGATTACTCTTATCAATTTGCTATTCAATAAAGTTGGGATTGAAACAACTTCCTCAAATCCCAGGTACTTATGTAGCATGTCATGATCTGCTACACTACATGGTCATCAGAGATCTGAGCATATATTAATTTCTAATCCCTGCTATCATTTCAGTACAATATTTTGATAAAGTCATAGAACTTATTTTATAGACTCATAGGGCTGGAAGGGACCTTGGAGGTCTTGTTCAACCCCCTGCTCAAATCAGGAACCCTTATACCATCCTGGACAAATGGCTGTCCAATCTTTTCTTGAAAATCTCCAGCAATGAAACACCCACAACCCCATCTTGAAAAAGTAGGGCTTTTAAAGTGTTACTATGGCTCTTGTAAAACATGAAGATTTATCAATTTTGTTCTGTAAATATTTTGTCTCTTCTCATTTTAAAAAAAAAACTCTCTGGGATTTAAAGAGGATTTCAACTTTTAAATTTGCTCTGATCAGAAAAACGTGTCTCAGTCAGCCTTTTCCCAATGGCAAAACCTTTCCCTCTTTTGGTAAACAGCAAACATTGTATGATAGCATTGTGCACATCAAAAGGAGGAGAGCTTATTTTCTGACTATCTTTCTTTCAAAAGTTATCAGACAGCACCACCTTAGAAGGTTCCTATCTTCTAACTCAGGCAGCCTTTCTAATTTACTTATGTTAGAGCGATTCCTTGTTCCGGCCCCTCAAAAGGCTCATCCTGTAGTACTGGTGACAGGGGAGTACAGGGCCCTAATTGTAGGCTGCTGTTGCTTAATGCCAGGTCCGTTGTCAGCAAAGCCCCCCTTGTCTGTGATTTAATATTGGACAGCGGGGAGGACCTGGCATGTATAACCGAAACCTGGCTGGGCTGAGGGGGGTGTTTCCCTCTCGGAGATGTGCCCGGACGGGTTTGTGGTGCTTCATCAGCCTCGACATCAGGGCAGGGGTGGGGGAGTGGCAGTCATCGCTCGGAAGTCCTTGAGTCCTCGTGGGATTCCTGCCCCGGAGGTGGGTGGGTGTGAGTCCCTCCTATTGAAGTTGGGTTCACGGGTTCAGTTGGGCTTGCTGCTGACGTACCTACCTCCCAGCTGCATTGCAACAGCCCTGCCTGCGTTGCTGGAGTCAGTAGCCGGGTTGGCGGTGGAGTTCCCCAGACTTATAGTACTGGGGGACTTTAACCTACCATCACTCGGCGATCGCTCAGGGGCGGCGCAGGAGTTCATGGCTTCCCTGGCAACCATGGACCTGACCCAGGTAATTCAGGATCTGACCCATAGGGGTGGTCACACACTCGACCTTGTGTTTCTCTTGGGGCAATGGAGACATGATCTGGAATTAAGGGGAATAGAGATCTCGCCCTTGTCATGGACAGATCATTTCCTATTGAGGCTGGACTTCAGAGCATCACTCCCCCATCGCAGGGAGAGGGAACGACTAGGTGGTTCCGCCCCAGGCGCCTAATGGACCTAGATCGGTTCCAGGAGGAGCTTGGGGAAATACCTGACTCCCTTGTCCACAACTCGTCCGGGTCCCTGGTTGCGGCCTGGAATGAGGCGGCGTCCGGGGCCCTGGATTGAATTGCGCCTTTGCGACCTCTCTGTGGTGGTGGTCCCCGGAGGGCGCCTTGGTTTACTGAGGAGCTCCGGGAGATGAAGCGCCACAAGAGACGTCTAGAGCGACGTTGGAGGGCCAGTAACTCTGAATCTGACCGATCACTATTAAGAGCCTATCTTAGGACTTATTTAGTGGCGATAAGAGCGGCAAAGCGTGTTCACTTTTCTGCACTTATTGCGTCCGCAGAATCTTGCCCGGCCGCCTTGTTTAGGGTGACCTGCTCCCTTCTTAAAGTGGAGGAGGCGGAGGAACCCTTGCAGGGGAGAGCTGAGGAGTTTGTTCAGTTTCTTTTGGACAAAATCGCTCAGATTCAGAGGGACCTGGACTCTGACTGGGCAGTGCCAGCCGAGTTGCCAGAGGCTGGTCTTAGTCATATTATCTGGAGCGAGTTTGAGCCTGTGACCCCTGATGAAGTGGACAAGGCCATGAGGGCAATGAATGCCGCCACCTGTTTATTGGACCCGTGCCCCTCCTGGCTGGTTCTGCCAGTAGGGAGATGACACGAGGCTGGCTCCAGGCGATAATCAATGCTTCCTTGATGGAGGGGTCTTTCCCGCAACCTTTAAAGGAAGCGGTGGTGAGGCCCCTCCTCAAGAAGCCTTCCCTGGACCCAGCTGTTTTGAAGAACTTTCGTCCCGTCTCCAACCTCCCCTTTGTGGGGAAGGTTGTAGAGAAGGTGGTGGCGTCTCAACTCTTGCGATCCTTGGATGAAACCAATTATCTGGACCCTTTTCAATCTGGTTTCAGGCCCGGCTACAGCACTGAGAATGCTTTGGTCGCACTGACCGATGACCTCTGGCGAGCCCGGGATAGGGGTCATTCCTCTATCCTGGTGCTTCTTGACCTCTCAGCGGCTTTCGATACCATCGACCATGGTATTCTTCTGCGTCGTCTCGGAGAGATGGGGGTGGGCGGCACCGTATTGCGGTGGTTCTCCTCCTACCTCTCTGACAGGTCGCAGTCGGTGTTGGCGGGCGGACAGAGATCGACCCCTAGGCGCCTCGAACATGGGGTGCCTCAGGGCTCGGTCCTGTCCCCCCTCCTTTTTAACATCTACATGAAACCGCTGGGTGAGATCATTCGGCGACACGGGGTGAGGTATCATCAGTACGCGGATGATCCCCAATTATATATCTCCACCCCGTGTCCTTTCAGTGAAGCAGTCGACGTGATGTGCCGGTGCCTGGAA